TCTAAAATGCGCCGCCTAGGCGCGCTAATGCGGGCTAATGCACGCGAATTTTCGAACAAAAAACTTCAAAAACGCATTTTCTGCGCATTGCACCAATTCGACGCGTTTGATCTGCGCCTAGGCGGCGCATTTTCGCGCCTTTTAGAACACTGCTTTTTATTTATCTATGTTTACAAATTTGTGATATCAAATGTTACGTGTTGAAAATCGGACCAAATTACAAAGAGAATAATATGAGAAATATGAAAACAATAGATCACAGAAGAATACAAAATTTAAGTAGAACCCAAATCTGGAAAATCCACGTGCAAATGAGGGAAATTTCAATATATAAAAAACTAAGGGCTTATTTGGTACGGCTCAAAATCCAATTAAAATTGAAAATATAGTCGTTATTGGGTCTCATTCATCTAATAAAAGTCAACAATAACAGCTGATTTTTCAATTTTAATCCGATTTTAATCAGATGGTTTGTGAGAGATTTTAATATTTACATGATTTGATACTTTCAATTTAAATCTAAACAATTCTCTCATATTTCTAATGTATATAACAATGATCTTATTGTTATTTTTAGTTTATGAAGAGCCTACACCACATGGAGTATATATAGGAGTCCAATTTTGAAGTTCTAGATGAAGTAGAGCACAAAAAATCGTGGTAAAAAACTAGGAGTCTTTCTCCTGTCTACGTGGCGCCGCGGCCCTCCACTCGGCATGGGGGCCAGTGCAGGGGCGTTGACTTGATGTTGGAGCGGCGCCCTAACCGTTGCCTCCCTTTTGCGTTGTCGTGCACCTATCAATTCATGATAAAATTTGATCACTTATCAATCTGAACTTCAAATTACATGGATTTTGAGTTACAACATAACAAATTCCACATTGACACAAATTCCATAGCAATTAATTAAGTCTTCACTCTTCAAAGTCATTATTTATCTCTTCCAACAGTGACAAAATTCAAGCCCTGCTTACCAGCAAAATTATTTAGGGCCCTAAACCTGCTTGAATCGTCCCCGTTCACGAACTCCACTTGAGTTACCAAACATGCTCGAATCCCCACGAGCAACATGATCAACAAGATCAGAACTAACTTCACTTCGCACAGTATGATAAAGGCTTGTATGTGTTCATGAGAATTCTCTGTGGCCTTTCCGCATAACTTGATGTCATTATGATTTTGGAAGAGGTTTATGATATTTGGCCGTATATGGAAGTTAGCTTGTCTGAAGGGCAGGGTAGATGATCAAAGGTTGAACTAGAGCAGACATTGGATTAACATAATCCCCTACTAATACCAACTGAGCAAGAGATGGTTGTTGAACTAGAAGTGCTGCTTCCTATAGTACATCTTGAACTTGATTTTGATTCTTAGTCATTACCCTAGCTCTTCTTTGATCTCTTCTGCATTGCTTGAAGGTCCTTTCAATCTTAGGATCTATAGGGAGGATCTCGATCGTGTTACAAACTTGTATAAACCGTAGAGGCCTGCGAAGAGTGAAACACTAAAATTAAATCCGTTACTTCTCGGCAAAGGTGTCAGAAACTTGTTTAGTTGAAATTCGCAATCGTACGGGAGCATTGTACAAGTAATAAAAATAGTGAGTTTCGAGTTTATCGTTCCCATGAGAAATAAAGTTTAAAATGTAGTTCGTAGTTAGTATTAAATTCGAGTGAGTAGTGACATCAAAAGAGTGATTTTGTGGTTGTTTATACTATTTCTAATCTATACTAATAAAGCAAGTAAATTGTGGTTTTATCGAATGTGCATGCTTGTATTGGATTCATGATCCCCCCTATTTCCAT